GTAGAAAGCTCCGCGCGCGGCGTTGTAGCTACTGCTCGTAAATGCATTTCGCTCGCATTTACCAACATTGCGCTCAAACGTTGAGTGCGCGCGCGAGTAATTGAAAAAAAAGGCTGAAGTCAAATTGAGCAAAAAAATAGCGCCAGTGGCCGCGCGTCGCGTCTCTTCCTTTCCAATCCAATTTGCGCGGCCGCCGCGCTTGGCTGCGAGAGAAGAAAAGCCGGCAGCAACGTGGTAAGGCGACACACCGCAGGCAGATAGCAATGGAGTCGCGTTACTTCATCTAATTTGCAAGATGTACAATTAGCACGGGAGTAGAGCTGGATTAGAGGGCCGCCGCGCAGCCACGGTGCCGCGATAAAACTCGTGGCGGAATGGCACGGCAAATACGAGACGCCAGGTTCCCCTTGCTTCGCCACATGGCCACGCCGGCTCGGAGCTCGACTGCGCACGCAAATCATTTCCCGAACGAATAACGCGCGCGCCTTGTCGAGCTGCTTGTTGCTCGCGCGCGCCGAGGGAAAATTAGCCTATGAAAAGATTTCCTCCTCTTTTTTTAGACGGCAGGTGTGATTGATACAGCTGCTAGAAATGGGAATGCAATTGCGGGAAGGGCTCGTATTTTTGGCGCGATTATTTATCAAATAGCTTGGCCGTGTTTTCTTTTTTTCGCGTTCTCTGGATTAAAAAATACCCCATTAACCTTGCGGAATTGCGAAAATGTTGCGGGATTATAATCGCGAGATAACGCGCGCGTGGCCGACTTTTTAGATTTCCAATTAAGATCATCGCGATGCAATTATTGCTCTGCTTCGCTTACTTGTTTTCTTTCAACAATATCTAGCTCGCTCATAAAAGTTACGTTGTAAAAATGTAAAAGTAACCGGAAAATTTCATGCGTATTTCGAAGCAAAAACTTTCATTGCCGATCCTCCAGAAATTTCCCAGGCATCGTGTAGAACAAATGGTTCGCGGTGATAAGTCGTAACTCACATTCCCGCGTCTCCGCGTATAATCCAACTGGCGTTTCATTTTCAAACGCGCGGGAAAGCTTTTCACAAGAGAGAAAACCAATTTTTTGTCTCTTTCCTTCCAGATAAACGAGCGCGCATCACATGTACAGCAGTCGAGCGACAGTAGCAGCTCGTTTCGACGTCTGCTTTCCATTCGCCGACCATAACCATCTCATTTTCGGGAAACGAAGTTTCCAGGATCACAACCATCCCCGCGGAGAGTACAGCTCGTAAAAAGAATGAAAAAAAAATAGTGAAATCGAGCTTTCCCCAAATTCTATGTACTCGATGATCCTGAGCAGATACACCGCAGCGGGCGCCAACTAACGCCAGATGGCCCTTCATGGGAACTTACTTTGCTGTTTAATATCCGCGGCAGGTAGGCACCTTTTGTCATCAACTCGGGTAACGAACTCAACGGTGCTCTTTCTACCTCTCTAATGGCGACGCGAAAATAAATTTGGTTCGGAATTCAAGACTCGCGCGCGCTACATAGTCCGGCGTATTTGGACGCCTCGGCAATAGAATACGTAACGAGTGCGCGGTATATAGTGGCTAATGTACAATTAGCAATCCGACGCTGGTGATTTGCTAATTATTACTCGTTAGTCGCGCTTAGCACATACGCCGATTTCGCATCTCGCCTGCTTGCGCGCATTGAATTATGGAAATTGCCCCGACTCTCCCCACCATATTAGCTATTTGGATTTCTTGCGCCGCGTCCTCGCTATATATGGCTTTTGTCTGATGTGTTTGCCTTTTGTCTCTGGCGCACGTCGCTGCTGCGCTCAATATAACTTGGAAATTTCGCGCGATCATTATGCGATAGGGCCAATCTGCGAGATAACTTGCGCAAAATGTTATCGTATTTTCAAATCGTCTCGTCTGTGCGATTGGGTAGTCGTTGACAGTATATTTGAATTTGGTGCAGCTAGTTAATGGCTTAAGCTGGCGTCACATAAGTGCTAGGTGGCGCGTTCAAATTTCAGATGGACGTTATAACTTGAATATAAAAACCTGGACGATGTTCCATGGAAAATTGACTGGATCATCGAATTATTCGCTTTGTCCTGTGTGTCAAAGTGAAATTCTCGCTGAAAGTGTATTGCGATAATCCAATGCGGCACTTTCCACTTGAAATATTAACGATCAAAAAACAATTAATGCGCGCGAAAGCGCGACAGCCGAAAAACATCAGCGCTCAAGTCGAGAGAGGCAAAAAGCATCGCTGTGGCTGCTGCTGCTGCGCAAAATATCTCCCGGACGGTTGGATTTCATGCTCCAGCCGGACGTGTTTTGAGGTCTCTCTTCAAAAAAATTTTTATCTCGTCGCATGCGTGCTGGCGTGAAAAAGCTGAAGGCGGAGTCGCGGCGCACAGGAGGCCGCCGAGCATATTGAAAAGCAATCAGGCTGCCGCGCGATTTACACGCTGTCGGCCAATTACCTACGGTGTGTCCAGCGCGCGCACGACATTCAAACATTAATGCGCAATTTCGTATCTCTGCCGCGAGACGACGCTTTGCAAGCTGAATTTCAAGAATGGTCATTTTTTTACACCTCACGGGGCTCTGTCTCTTGCATGCTCTGCCGATTATTGTTCTGTCGCCTTATTTGCCACGCTTTCGTCTCATTTTTTTCCTCGCCTTGATGTGCGATTAACGACTTAATGACTCAATTATCGTTACGTGTCAGGGCGTAATTATTCAGCGTAATGTGGAAATTAAGGGCCTAATTTTCAGAAACCAGTTGCTTTTGAAAAATGCGAGAACAAGATTATATTGTCGAGATTTGCAATTTGGTAAGATAAGATATGTCTTCGTCAATAGCTTATTGGGTTATAGGAATCTATATATTATTTTCTTGAGTCGCGTGTATTGATCGAACCTAAAAATGATTACTAATTTTAAAAGTAATCATAGATATTTAAAATTAATCTAACTTAACCGATATATTTCAAAAAGCATTTTTTTTGTAAAACCTGTTGATTATTAAGAGCGCATTTATTACGTAGTTCATCGATAAAATGATTGACAACAGCACACAAGACATCGTGTCTCAAATGCTGTAATGAGTGTTTCGATTTATTACGATGACTCATCGTCGTCCATCTCAACACGTTTGAAGTCATATAGCGCACCGCTTCCAGAACACCAGGTGGCGCTTGCCTTATGAAGCGCTATTTTGTACAGCGTTCAACGAGAGCAGAGTGGCGCAGTGGAAGCGTGCTGGGCCCATAACCCAGAGGTCCGTGGATCGAAACCACGCTCTGCTAAGTATAATTTTTTTTTTTCGTTTTTCACTTTCTACCATTTTTTGACGCACTCCGGCGAACAAATTTTCTAAGTTTAGCCGGAATTCAGTGAAAAAAAAAACGAGATTAAATATTATAGGATAGCCACGTTACGTCTATTTTATCTACGCCGCCAACACGCGATTAATATGTATTTATATGTCCACCTAGTGAAATTCAACGAATTCACTTAATTGCAGTGGCATCGAGTGAAAGTCACTTATTTTAATAACTACATTCAACCGCTGCTCTAGTAGTTTCCGATAAGCATGCCTAAATGGGAACAGTATTTTTCGTTACGTGCTCGATATAGATTATTGCAAGCATGGTTTCGCGCGCTGCATAAATTCTTTTCATTAGAAATAAGGCAGAACTGTCGAGTCATGAAAAATCGTATAGACTTGGCCGGGAAACTAAATTAAAGAGAAGACGCTGACGAAGAGAGTGTAAATAAATAGCGGCGCGTGCGAGAGGAGATGGGAACAAATATTTCCTGAACAATTCGCAGCTTCTGTCGTCGAGATCAAAGAAACGCAACGCGTGTTTATATATATATATCCTGCGAAACGATTTACAATGCTAATGTCAAAACATTCTGTGCGCGATAGATTCCCTTTGTATAAAATTTCGTGGCGTCTGTATACTGTGTCCTCAGTGTTTTGCGCTGTTAAAAAACTCTCTTTGAGTTTCCTCCTATTCGTTTTGACTCCCAGCGGTCAAAAATATTTGCATGGACAAACATGGATTTCACACTTTTCCTGTAAGACTGAGGCAGGGAGAGGGATAGAGAGAGAGAGAGAGAGAGAGAGAGAGAAAATAAGCCGATAGCAGTCAATTTAGAATCTTAATTGCGCGCATTAGCATTTTCCCTTCGAAATGGGACGTCCTTATACAGTCGCTGGTAAACAATCGAGCTGGTCTATCTTTCACCCCTTTAGTGTTTGAATCGAATTTTAGTTTTTGTTCAGTCTGCACGAGCAAATAAAACAACAAATAATAATCTCTCGTAAGAGCAAGCGTTCTGGTGTGTTGCAAAGGATTCATACTATACATTTTTAACGGCCGAGCATTTCTGTCCGAAATCATCATCAGCTGAATACTTAATCAACCATTCTTTCTCAAATTTTAATTATAGCAAGACACACACCAAGATGGAAAATCAATATTATCGTATCATAAAAAATTCATGGTGCGCTGCCAATCTCAATTAGCGTTTTTTTTATGCTTGCACATAATGATGGAGGAACATCAAGAGTGAAACGTCAAGCATAAATAAACGTGCAAAATAAAAAAACTGTGCACAGTTAAGCTGCAAGTTCGAAGGTGTATAATGTACGCGAACAAAGCGCACTCAAGGCTGTCCACGAAAGCCGTAAAGCTCGGAGGTCCAAAATGATCAGTTGTAATAACTCGTCCGCGCACTGTGTGTTGTACGCACAGTCTTTATATGAATATGCATGCTACCTTCTCCCTTTCTCGTAAGCTCTCGCGCACACACGCACTCGAAATAATTGATCAGAGCCGCGGGATGCAAAGACACGCACTCGTTATCCGATACCCCCCACAGGTATTTGCGAAAAAAAAACTCGCGCGTCCTTTCTCTTTCTACCCCGCGATTGTCGAGAGGACTATGTTATTTTTGTCTTAGAAAAAAGAATGAAAAAAAAAAAATAAAAACAGAAGCGAACGTTCTTACCTTTTGATTCGACGAAGGCTTCAGTGGCGGTAACGACGTAGCTGAAAAGTAGTAGGACTAGCGCGTGCCATCTCATGTTTGTCTCTCCTCTGCGCAAAGTTGCAGCAGACTCTTCACATCCCTCGTCTGCGCAGACTGCGGGGGTTCGAGGGAGAACGGCGACGTGGTAGATAGGGTACTCGTCACCTTAGCGCCCGCGGAGATAACACCTGCAACGCACACGGCATATCTCACGTAATTAACCAGTCTACAACGAAATTCTTTTTTTCTCAGACGTCGTATTATGAATTTTTCATAGCAGTTGCAACTGGCTTTTGTTTCAATCGCCGCCAAAGCTGAGATAGTTGAAAATGGAAAAAGGTAATCCGAATTAGAGAGTTATTAATCTATCGCCGCGTACTCGTACGGTGGCTATGTATGTAACCTGTCTGTGTATAGTAGCTACGACTGTAAAAGTTCATTCCTCGATACGCAAAATACAGCGCGCGTTGCTGCCACGACTGAGCGACGGGCGATTATCTCGCGACTACGTGAGATAAGGATTAACGACGAATATCCATATGTTTGCAATAGTAATAATAATGATAATTCTGTCGTTCGCGCAGTCTTGAACTTTATAGGACTGAGATCTATTCACGGATGAAGCAATCTTAATTAGATCTGAGCGTTCGTTTGTTATTAATAAGTGTTAAGAGACACCTCGTTGCACCTGCCTTATGCGCTGCAAGTGTGTTTGCGTTGATACGCCAGGCAAGTTTGCATTTGCGCGCGAGTGAGAGGAGCTTGCGAGACGTCAGTTTGTCTTGAAAACAAAAGTTGAAATACGTTTGCAACGGATCGTCGCTCTCTTTTCAAACGAGACAATAAACGCCCATTAGATGAACCTTTGTTTCAGTTTAATTAGCACAGAGCGCGATTGCCAGCTGAATGACATTTTCAACTTGTGTACTTTCATAATTGTCGAAAATACATTATAAACAATTCACTGTTCGGGGGGGTGCTCAACCGGCGGGCTCAGACCGCAATCATAATTCGGAACGAAGCAAGTTAATTAGCAAGCGGATCGATATATAGCTAGCGACGCCACGCGAACCAGCCGAGTGATGATCATAATCAAGCGGATAATAACTGGCAGCAAGCAGCAAAAATGACAACTAAAAAGTTTGATGCCCTCGTCGCGTCGCTCGTTATCGAACCACTAGTGTTTTTAGTTTTCATTCGCTTAGGCCGTTGAACGTCGAGCTCAATGATTGCCCGTGTCAGGCAATAAAGCAAGCGCGAAGCGCTCGCACTCACAAATGCGGAACGCGCGTATAATCGGCAAGAGTCGCGCGGACATGATCAGTGGAGAAGGGCAGGGGCGAGTCCTTCGCACTCGTAAATGTTTGCCCCGCACTTTCCCCGACGAGAGCGACGAGCTTCCTTTATGGATTTCCCACGCGCAGATGAGAAATGTAAATGCCTCGCGGCTAAGAGTGGCGCGGCTCGCCCTTCCCGTTACTGCCGGGGTGTCCTGCTACCGATGTATGACAACGCAAAGCTGTGTGTCTGACATTTCCCTTCCTGAGAATTTCCAACGAATGAAAGAGAAGTGTACCAGCGCAGACGTTTTGCTGTTGTTTCTTATCGCAATCCGAGAGGTTTCGTTCCAGCTCTGCATAATTTAGAGTTTTTCGCTATATTTCCTCCTTTTTGTGGACTCGAACTGGCGGATCGGCGAACTGTCAGCTTTCAAATTGCAGCATTTTTCTATATGACTTTTATGAAATAACCGTCTGGATAATTTTTATGTGAATATGGCTGAAAGATTGGAAATAATCGCGTTATCGATGGTTAACGACTGAAGGATAATTGCAACGAACAATTCCGTAAGTTGTCTCAATCTCTTTCTTACTAGAATTCTTAGTTCATGCATAATTTACATAATCCTAACGATAGCTAGTCATCGAGATTAAAAATATCCATTTAAAAAGATCTTGCATTTTGAACGCACGCAACGAGAGAAAAGCATTCACGAAACTATCTTATATCAATTGAGTTTACGATGTTTTCACGAGTAGAGCATTATCCAGTCTGTGAAGCGAGAAAAGTACGATTAATGACTATATCTATTCTCATCCTCCTGGCCGAAAATCTTGCTGAACTCTACTATGAGGACACTCTTTGGGAGTGTCTATCCGGAGCTTAATCTTCCAAGTCCCTGAGCGCGCCGATAAATAATTCATAGGCAAAGTACCTTCCAAAAAGGAAAAGAAAGGAGAAAGCAGCAAAGCCTTTGCTATCACGCGCATTCCCATTAAAACGGACTCGCAAACTTAGGTGGCCTGCAAATCCGGAAAAAATCAAACGTCACGCGCCGAAGAGGATCAAGAGAGAGTCTCTAGGCAGGGAAAATCCGCGTGTCCGTTGGGGAAGCAGGTCACGGCCGCGTGTAAAAACTTACCGGGGTGTTTCGGATAATCCGCGGCCGCGGCGCTAAGCTCTGGCCTACTTGGCTACGAGACTGGAATTTTCGCGGGGCTATCGCCCGCGAGCTTCTTTCTCTCGCACGGCCTTATCTCCGCGCTTTTTATGCGCCGCCGCCAGAAGCGGAGTAATTATGATGATGGCTCTGCTATATATCTCGCTCTGTATATTCAATGCGCATGGGCGGGAGGAGCGGGCTGTAGATTTAGTCGGGCAGAGTGAGAGGCATTTCACATGATTATGAGTATTACTGTAGCTTGCCTGGTAATTTATTAAGTGACTTTATCTCCGCCGCTCTCCTACTTGCAAAATTCATCTTTCAGCGTTGTACCGCGTCGCGGCTATTTATTATCATTTATTACGCTGCCGAATAACAAATAATCGCGCGATTGCCGCGTTCTCCTAGACTAGCGGACAGTATTATCTCATCCGCGATTAAGACGATCGGCAAAACTTTGCGCTCACCCGCGAGTCTGACTTCATTACGAAAACTTGTATAAAAGAGACGAAGCGAGCGCAGAGATAGCGTTAATAGGAAAAATTAGCACTCGACAATCAAGTCTCCAGCGACTCCGCTGCCTAAGTCCGCGTAAAATTGCTGGAATCTTCGATCGCCCGTAAAATCGCGAGCTTATCTTTTAATATATCTACGGGCCACAGGCACGGCTCGCCAACTAGATATAGGCTTTTGACAGCGTCGCCGTGCTGCCAATCCCGGAAGATAACGTGCAGAATCCCGGACGCTCATATCTCCTCGTTGTCGTGAAAAGGGAAGGCAAAAGCGTAATTCAGTCTCGAGATTAAAGGCGCGCGAGCTCAATGGACGACCGTCAATGAACACAAGTTTGTCGAATGGAAAAACTTCTTTTTCTTTTTTTCCTCCCTTTTCTTTCTGGCAGGAAAAGGAAACGTTGCATTGGCATGCAATAAGGCCGAAACAAGGGAAACCCGAACAAAGGGCGTCGAGAGCGTCGGATAATTTTAGCTGCAATTACCGAATCCAATCGCGGACCAAGTTGAATAGACGATCCTCTCTCTGCACAAGGAAAGCCGGAGAGAGACCGAGAGGCAGGAAAAAGGAAGCGACGATACTGAATTAGACGCGATTCAAGAAAATTCGCCGACGCGTCCGCAAACTTTACTCGCTCGACGACGACTCCTTTTTCCGCGCGCGCGTGTGTATGCGTGTGCGTGCGGGCAATGGATTGACGCTCTTTCATATCTTTTCCGGGGCTTGTTAAGGGTAATTGCTCTCGAGTCGTACGAGATGCGACCTTTTCTTCTCTGGACAAACATCAAACGTACGAGGGCTGAGGGACGCTCTCAATACATCAGCTGAGGTTGCACGCATACTTTTTGGGAAATTCAATATAAACATTCTCTTGTTGTTTGTTGCTGGGCTCGAGACTGTATCGATAGAACGAAAGGTACTATTGGGAGTTAAAGGCGTTCAGATAAGAAGGAAAATACAAACGAGCCAATTTCGTTGAAGGAGATAAGCTTAAATCCTTTCTGAAAAATTGTAGACGCAACAATGAAAAATTAGTGTGCATCTTTCAAGATCCACGAGCAGCTCTCCTCGTGTTTGCTTACGACCTCGCTTTTCCGGTACGCAGCCTCATTAAGGCCAAGCGCCTCCTCGTCGAAGAGAAATAGTTTAATAACATCATTCTCCGTCACTGCCTCGGCGCGGAAAAGTGCGTTGCCCGTCTTCGAGCAGAGTCCCGCGCGACAGCGCGAGAGAGAAGAACGTAAACAGGCGATAATCCGGGGGCTTCGCGGCAAACACGAAACACTACTTAAAGAGGATTTTTTCACACGTCGGCACAGGAGGAGAACAAGAGAAGAGACGGAGAATCGAGAGAGTCATAAATTCGGCAAATTCCCGCGCACTTTGGCACACGCGTGAATCATCGCTCTCGCAAGCTTCTCGCATTTTTACAAGCGCGCGTATGTGACAATATGGCCGGCTATTTATCTTGAAAGCTTAAGGCAATTTTGTCATCCTGAAATCGTTGCCTCCGAGATTTATCATGCGAAAGCGAAGCGCGAGCGCCGCTCGCTTCTTTTCAACGAGACGTATACTCTTGCGTTTGTTTTTTGGGATACAGAAAATCCATCTACGCCGATCCAACCGACAGTAGCTTTCGAAAAGGGGGACTGCGCTAATGCTACATGCTGACGGCGGAAAAAATATTCGCTATAGCGGTAGCTTAATCGTGATTCATGTCTAATTGTCTTGAGGTTTCTTTGCTAAAGCCAACTTCTCGTAATAATTTTACATGCTCACTGCTGAATTATCAGCAACAGACAAACGTACGTCTAACGACCACGTCCGGAGGCTCATGATTTACTGCGCAGGTGTTGAGTAAGGATTAATATTTTTACGCCCCATTCATACAATAATAGGCGGGCAAAAATCGTATTTTGACTGCGATAAGCTTAAAAATATGTTTTCCATCAAATAAAAGTTTATCGTCATGCTGTAATAAAACTCCGAGTAAAGGTAAAAAATGACACCTTTGCTGCGTAAATAATTAATGTTGCAGAGAGAAACGACCAACGCACGGAAAAAAGACAGGAACTCCTCCCCCCAAAAAAATGTTTCACCCCAAACAATCTTTTACACCCTAAGCAGCCTCCTAATTAATCTCTTACAGAACGTACGTTATTAATCGTTCAAAGCGGATAGCATTAAAAAATCTTGCCTAAAAAATGCTGCTTCACTCGTATAAATTACAAA